GAAGTTATTTACTATTTTATTATTTTTGCTTGTACTAACGTTCCATATATTTTATATACAGGTGACAGCAGATACCCGCAGCTTCCTTTCTTAATGACTCCAATTCAGGGTAACAATCTATCTCAATCAGAGGAAAACTATTATAGACGGCACAGAAAAGCCAGGAGTGCTCAAAACGAGATTTCGTTGCCTTATAAGAGAGAGAGTGTTAATGTATGACGCCATCGTAGCAGGGAAAATAATTAATTCATGCATTATTATGATTATGAATAATATCGGTGGAAAATTAGAAGATGATGAAATGTCAAGTGAAAATGAAATTTTTTATGAAGGCAGTGAGGGAGAAATCTCTCCTCAAGGCATATCTGCAAGACAACATGTAGTTAATAATTTTTTTTAATTTACGAATTTTGATGCCATAATAAACCCAAAAATAAAATTGCCGCGATGGTCACAAAAATAGCACCAAAATTCAAAATGGTGTTCTTAGTAACTTACGTTGTTCAATATACAAAATCACAAGGCTGTTCTGCAGCTTCAAAAACTTAACCTACAGCTTAAATACCTAATTTATTTACAAGCAAAAATACAGCGCTGCCCTACAGCTTTAAAAATCGCACGATTTTTTATTAAAAAATTTCGCCTGCGGCGCTTTTTCCATAAAAATCAATACTTCGATAAATAATGAAAGTTTGTAATAAAAAATCGCGCTCTTTTTTATTACAAATTTTCGCTTGCGGCGCTTTTCCCATAAAAATCAATACTTCGATAAACAATGAAAACATACCCTTATGTTATGGAGGTCATCATGAAATATAAGTTGGGTATTTTACTGACCTTAATTTTCAAACATCTGGTAGCACCCTTCTGTTCGGGCAATACAGCCATCAAGGCGTATCAAATACAGGTGATAGCGATAGAATCTATGCTTCTTCTTATGATCACGCTTGTGTCAAATTATCGCCTGTTTTGCTTTGTTTTCATATCCGCGTATACATACACATATACGTCAATATATACCCTGCAAACAAATGCCCCTGAAATCTTTAAGGGTATAGGTGCCCACACTCACCGTCGTCGCGCGATTTTTTATTTAAAATTTTCGCCTGCAGCGCTTTTTCCATAAAAATTAATACTTCGATAAGTAATGATAATTTTTAATACAAAATCGCGCGATTTCGCCCGCGGCGCTTTTTCCATAAAAATCAATACTTCGATAAGTAATGAAAATTTGTAATAAAAAATCGCGCGATTGTTTATTAAAAATTTTCGCCTGCGGCGCTTTTTCCATAAAAATCAATACTTCGATAAATAATGAAAATTTGTAATAAAAAATCGCGCTTTTTTTTATTAAAATATTTCGCCTGCGGCGCTTTTTCCATAAAAATCAATACTTCGATAAATAATGAAAATTCTTTACATACGTACTCATCGGACGTATAAATTTTTGCTCCCGTAAATTCTGCTTAAAAATTGATAAATCGTGTTTAAAAGCTATAAAAATTATTAATTTTTGCTTTGCAAATAAACTGATGTAACATAAAAGAAAATTAAAGTGGAAATTTAGAAAGACAGTGACTTTTTGAGTTAAGTGGTGGCAAAAAACACAAAATGCCGCCACTGGAGTGCAAAGAGTGCAGAGGAAAATTAGTGCAAATAGACGAGTCAATTTTATGTTCAGGTGGCTGTGGCTGCTTTTTCTGTATCAAATGCAGCAATTTAAAAAGAAGAGAAACTGAATTGATGAGTGAAAATGAAAATATTAAATGGTTTTGCAACTAAATTGGCAAAACATTATTCAAAGATATTGTTGAAGAAACAATATCTCGCAATATTCAGCAGTTGAAATCAAGCTTGGCTACGGAGTTTAATAAACTCCTTGAACATAATGTTGACATTAAAATAAATGAATTCCGAAAAGATATGCTCGCGGAGTTATCAAAAACAGTTGAAGACAATAGAGAAACATTAAGCGAAGTTTTGGCGGAAACTAATGTAAACAACAACAACACAAATGCTAACAAAGAATTGTCTTATGCACAAGCAGCCAAACAAAGGGAAAATATGATTGTTGTTAAACCAAAAGATAAAGCAAAGAAAAACAAACATACGAAAGTGGCGCTTAAAAAAGTAATAGAACCAACAGAATGTCATGTGACAACAGTGAAGGAGATTAGCAACGGCGGAATAGTAGTGCAATGCAAGAATAAGGAATCATGCGAAGAAGATAGCGGAACAAATTGGAGATGAATTTGAAACGGAGAAATCTAAAGATAAGAGAGAGTCGAAAATGTTTAAAGTTATTGGTTTAACAGAGAGACTAAGCAGTGAACGCTTAGTAGAGTGCATTACAAAGCAAAACCGCATATGTGAGGGTAAAGAATTTAAAGTTGTAAAAATTTTTGAAAACTATAGTCGCAGAGAAGAATATTATAATGCTCTTGTTGAGACTGATATCGAAACGTATGAAAATATAATAAAACAAAAGAGAATTAATATAGAGTGGGACTCTTGCATTACTGTTGAGTATGTAAGAGTATTTAGGTGCTTTAAATGCTTGGGATTTAATCACAGGGCGGATGAATGCATTAATAAAAAAGCTTGTAGCAACTGTGGAGCAAGTCACGACAGCAAAGATTGTTTGTCAAAAGTTCTTAATTGTGTAAATTGTAGCGAACGGGTTCAAAAAAAACTTATAGATGTGGATGTGCACCACACCGCGTTTGATAAAGAATGCCCAGCATTTAAAAGATATCTTGAAAGTAAATCAAGATCTAGAAAGTAGCAGTCAAAAGATAAAAATATAAACTGCCTGTACCTAAATATTAATAGTATTTTGAGTAATAAATATGAATTAGAAAAAGTAATTGAACAAGTAAATCCAGCAATAATATTATGCGCTGAAACATGTACCACAAATCACGTTACAAATCAAGAGCTAACCATACTAACGTACAAACTAGTGCGATGTGATTCGCATAGTAGGCACACTGGCGGTGTTCTGATATATGTGCATGATTCTATGGAATTTAGTATTAAATAGGTAGAAATATATGGTGCATTTTTATAAAATTAAAGCATATTAACCCAAAATGGCAAATCGGTGTAATTTACCACTCACCCAGCACAAGTGATGCGGATTTTATAAATTATTTACGTAACGTTTTAGGCAGTAATTGCGAAACTTCAGAGAGTAATATTGTTGTTGGTGATTTTAACATTAATCTCAATAATACATCAACTTATAGCACTCAACTCATTGATCTGTTGAAGTCATACTCGATGCACCAAAAAGTTAACTTTGATACTCGTATAACTGATACATCTAGAACTAAAATAGATTTACTTTTTTCTAACACTGATGATATAGTGTGTGAACAGTTAGATGATCACCAAATTTCTGATCATGAAACAATCCAATTTAAACTTAAAAGTAACCCTAAATTTACAATGAGAAGCTCAATAAAGATAACTTCATGGGAAAATTATAATAATGAAGTTCTTATTAATCAGTTACGCCTATGCGATTTTAGCAACTTTGATACATTTGATTTGGAAAGTAAGGTGTTGTATATTAATAATAATATTTTAAATGTCATGCGAAGCATTACCTTTGATAAAGTAGTTCAGTTAAAAATTATGAATAAATGGTATGACAGCGAGCTAGCCAATATGAACAGGCATAAATTTACACTTAAGAAATTTGCCAAAATATCGGGGGAATGGGATGAATATAGGACCATTAAGAAAGAATATAAAAAGCTTATTAAAATAAAAAAAGCTAAGCACATGGAGTATAACATAGATATCAATAGTAACGATAGTAGAGCGATGTGGAAATATTTAAAAAAGGCAATTAGCATGGAAAACGAAAATCCTTCAATTAAGAAAATAGTAATAAATGGTCAATCATATCATAATGAATCTGATATTGCGAACGAGCTGAATAAATATTTTGTAGATAGCATCACAGACATTTGCAGCAACATTCAAGTAGTTGATAGAGATGTCAACATATTTAATCAGTTAAGTTGTGTTTTCAAGTTTGACCCTGTTAGTACGGTTGACATCGAAGACCTTGTGAAAAAGTTTAAATCCAAGATAGGTGGAAAAAAGTTATTATCAGATGGAGAAGTCAAAGATGTTGTACCGTATGTAGGCTTTTTCTATGCTCAAATAGTTAATGAGAGTTTGAGTAGTGGCATAGTTCCTTCCATCTGGAAAACTTCTACTATTGTCCCCATAGAAAAAGTTAACCAATACGACCAATAAATACCTTGGCCAGTGACGAAAAAATTTTAGAAGTTGTCGTCAAAAACCAACTGGTGCAATATTTAGAAACCAATGATATACTCTTACCACAGCAATCGGGATTTAGACAAAAGCACTCGTGTGAAACAGCCTTAAACATGGTTTTAGCTGAATCCCTGCAAAAATCGCGACTACTCCATGCATGCGTGTAAAAAGTACTCCCTAAGGACCAAGGAGTACTCCAAAATTAACCACAATTCATATAAAAAATATGGTCCAATTAACATTGCGATGTCCTAGGGCAGGACCATATACTCCATTACCGAATTACATCAGAGTAGCACAAAACTACTACAACATATTAACAATGGCATTGTTGCTATATTTTTTCGTTTGTACACGCTTTTGTTCTTCACTTCTCAAATACTTTTTCGAAATTAATAAAAACCAAGACAAAAATTAAAAATTATATGTTGCCTCTGACGGTATTCGAACCCGAACATGCTGGGAGCTAAGAACTAACAGCGAGCATCTCTACACGTTCAGCTACAGCCAGACATGCAAATGTGCTTTCAAATGCTCAACTTCAATCACGTTTCGTTAAAACACGAGCAGTGATCGGATAACAAACAATGAGCTAGCGCAGAGATACGAGTTGGTCCGCTACAGCATGACAGAGGACACTTTTGTAAGTACTCCAATTTACCACAAATAGACTACATGATCCAACGATTTTTGCAGGGATGGAAAGAAGAACTTAATAATAAAAAGTCGATCATAGCTGTATTCATCGATCTTAAAAGAGCTTTCGAAACTGTTGATCAAAAAATATTACTCGATAAATTATTAGATATTGGCATTCGAGATGTGGAATTAGATTGGTTTAAAAATTTTTTAACAAATCGAACTCAAAGAACAGTCATTGGTTCTACGTTATCAGAGAAAGTGGACGTCAAGATTGGCTACCCCAAGGCTCCGTTCTTGCCCCTATTTTATTTAATATCTACATTAATGATATCAATTCTATTTTGAAATTTAGTTCTATTAAACTACTTGCTGACGATGCGCTTATCTCAATAAATGGAAAAAACGAGAAGGATATAAGAGAAAAACTACAGGTTGATTTAAATGCCCTTCATATTTGGCTTTGTGCTAATAGGCTAAAAATAAATATCGAGAAAACAAAATATATGGTAATTACAAGAAAAAATATTACGGATCTTGAACCCATTAAAATAAATAATACCGAAATTGAAAACGTTAATACAATTAAATACCTGGGTATCCGAATAGACAGCAAATTAAAATTTGATTCGCATATTGATTATACAATTAGTAAAATAGCAACAAAACTGTGGTACATGCAGAGAACTTGTAAAAATTTGAGTAGCCACTATAAAGTAAAAGTATACAGATCAATAGTTGAGCCTCATTTTATCTACTGCTCTACAATTTTCTTTATAATGAAAGATTCTCAAATTGAAAAGCTGCAAAAATGCAGAATAAAGCTATGCGTTTTATATTACGCAAACGGTATGATACTCCAATAAAAGATATGCTTATAAGTTTGAATTGGATGAGTGTAAAACAACAAATTTTTTTTCATACTATGAAATTTATTTACAACATAAAAAACGGAAATTTACCCGATTATCTGCGAACAAGTATCAAATTTAACTAAGAGGTTCATAACCGGAATACAAGACAGCGAAATGATTTTAAGTTACCGAACTATAAAACCGAGTCTGAAAAAATAGTCTTTTTTACAAGGGGCTAAAATGCTTTAATGAATTGCCAGAAAGTGTTAAAAATTGTGATATTAACCTATTCAAAAAAAGGCTATATGAGTACGCCAAATCGTTAAGTATCAGATAGATTCTATGATTGGGTGGATTTATGGTACATATTTCTATTCAATTAAGGATATTGTAATCTAAAATTTTTTAATTTAACATATTTATATCTAAAATATTGCAATGTAACTTTTTTCTTTTTTTCATTTATTTTTATTTTAACTAATGCAATAATATTCTTTAAGTGTTGATCTAGGCTCGAAGAGTCGTAATAAATAAATACAATACAATACAAAAATTTGTAATAAAAAATCGCGCTTTTTTTATTACAAATTTTCGCCTGCGACGCTTTTCCCATAAAAATCAATACTTCGATAAACAATGAAAATTTTTAATAAAAAATCGCGCGATTTTCTTCGCCTGCGGCGCTTGTCATTTTTTGTCTATATTGGGGGTGTTTAACCCCATACCCTCGTTTACTACTAATTCAACGCTGAGCAGGAAAATGGGTACGATAAAAACTATTATCTTTTATTGTTATTTTCTTAGATGTGGCAGCACTCTTCTAATGTCAGTGTGAAACCATGGTTGAATCAACGGTTCTGTATTCACAATGTGTGTATACATATATAAGTGCGTAATAACTATAAAAACTCACTTAATTTACTAAAAATACATCATAAATGTAAAAAATATGTTTACATTTCATTGTGCGGGATTTTAATGCAACTATTTTGCCGAAGTGTGTACATAAATATAGTCTTTATTGAATGAAATAGCGCCGAGAGGTTAGTTCAATTTACAAACTTTAACAACAAATAACTTAAAAACTATAAGCCTCCTGCGGCTAAAAGTATATATATTTGCAATCAGGAGAACTTTGTATGCACACAAAATTTTATTGTAGCTATGCCGATTCAAATTAATAAAAATTAATGTTTCTTGCTCGGCGGTCGAATTTATTCTGTTTTCTATAAATTCAAGCATTTTCGTCCAAACGACGCGACGTAAACATTTTTGTTCTTATTTTCGTTGTTTAAATATTAATTTTCTTTGTATTGCTTAATTTTT